ATCAAGGTCCAGAAACGTAGCAAGGAGATCGGTAAAATAATCCATGTGACATCAGGGGTTCAACTGTAATTTACTTGTAAAATACTTTTTGTACGCAAAGAATACAAAAATAACGACTTTATTCAACCTGGTGCCATTTTGGAGAATATCCACTGAACGTAAAAAGCATATGCTGGTCTGTGTCAGCTGCGTCACATGGAAAAGTTTTCTATGTTGTTTACGCTTTGATTTGAATGAAAAGAACGTATCCGCGTGAATAGCATATGCTGTTTGTGTTCAGTGGATATTCTCCAAAATGGCACCAGGGTGACGCGGAGGAGACGAAGTGTTGAATAAAGTAATTATTTTTGTTTTCTTTGCGTACAAAAAGTATTCTCGTAGCTTTGTAAAATTACGGTTGAACCCCTGATGTCACATGGATTATTTTACAGATCCCCTTGCTACGTTTCCGGACCTTGATCGTGGTAATTACATTGCTGTCTATGGGAGGGTCAGAGAGCTCTTAGAATTCATCAAAAATATCTTAATTGTGTTCTGAAGATGAACGGAGGTATTACGGATTTGGAACGACATGAGGGTGAGTAATTAATGACAGAATTTTCATTTTTGGGTGAACTATCCCTTTAATAAAGTACATTGTGTGTGTTTTTTTTACAGTGAATCACTTGTGCACTATATTCTATGTTTTCTGAAGCAATAAGATATTAACAAACCAACATTTAATAAATTATTTTAATTTTCCTAAAAAAAGGCATAATTTAAAGGGGTGGTTGATTGCGATTTCACTTTTTTAATGGACGCGTACCCGTACTGTATTAAACCTTTAATCAGCTTTAAATAAAACCGTATATTAAAAGCTAACAGAAGCAGTAGCATTTACAAATAACAGCGTATCTAAAAGTATGAGACAACAACAATCAAAAAACATACCATTAAAAGCTGTGCTTGCACAGGTTTTGCACGATCCTCTTCACTAAAATCCTTTGAGTCTCAATCGGGCTCAAACTGATAAGCAATATAGACGACGCCATTGTTTACAATACAACCGGAGCACATGCCGCCGAGGTGAGGGGCGGGACGTTTAGAGTGCACTCGAGGCGGTTTAGCCAATCACAACACACTGGGCTAGCTAACCAATCTGAGCCCATCAAGTATTTCTGAGGGAGGGGCTTCATAAAAGCAGTAAATGATCAGCGTGTTTATGGGAGAATGGACAGAGTGAATAAAGGTAAATTATGTGAAAAATAATGCGTTTTTTTTTTTAAAACAAAGCATTAACACGTGTTAGACCGCACCCCATAAACACAATCAAGCCTAGAAAAAAACAGTAAACCACCCCTTTAATATGTCTTACAAAAATATCAGTTGTTTCTTCCTGACAAAGAAGAAGATGGAGCAAAGATTTAGTCTTCACAGTCTCAAAGCCAGCTGCTTCTGTTAAGGGGAGGGGGTTCCCTTGAAGCTATGAAGTGGGGGAAAGGGCTTTTGCAAAATCCAGGTGTCTCTTAGTTCTTTTTTCCCCTCTAACCAGCCTGGGAGAGCAGAACAATTCTCACCAGATTACATCTGTGGGTGATTGGTGGGAGCAAAACACAAAACCCTAAAGCTAGATGCATGAGGACCATCCAAGATCCTAGAAGCCTGCTCTGGTCTCTGATTGGATCAGACATGTGGTGGGTAGTTTATCTTTGCAAACGCAAATGCACAGACCTCAGCCTTTAATTTAAAGTCCATAATTAAACAATTGAGTCTTGGATAAGTTTAGAAGTACCTACCTGTGGGGGGTAATGCTATTAAATAGGTACTGCACAAGAACAAGTAAATTTAAATATTTTGAAGAATGTTTGTATTCACAGTTGTGACACATTTAATTACAAGACATGTAAGATCCAATTGAGAGTTGGTGTCATTGACATCAAACCTAGTGTTACGTGTCTTTACACAAGGTTGAAAATGCACTTGGCGCATATTAAATTTGAGAGTTATGGTGGAAAATTATCTTTGAATTTAAATTCTGGCCTTTGCCTCTTATATGACTCAAAATATATACCATATGTTTAATAGCCTCAGTTTATGATACCCTTATGGTGCTTTTTTGTCTTTTTTGTGTCATAACTTTAAAGACTATATTTTCATTGTATATGGAAAATAGCAGCTTGGCGATTTTTGGAAATATCTTATGATGTTAGGGTCAATGATATATAATGGTGTCCACAGTAAAGAAAATTAAAAATCTTTTAAAAATCGAATTTTAAAAACACATTTGGCAAGTTCTTAGAAATGCATTCTTTGTATTTATGTTGGTTTCATATGGTTTTGGAAAAAAAAATGCTTCTAACATTTAAAAAAAAAAAAAGAAAAATTAGTTTAATGATGTGGTGTAACCATCAAGAAAACAGTAATAACATTTTTCCTTTACATTTACATTACAATACATGTGCGTGTATCTTTTCCAAAACATTTTCAAAGTAAAATATAGTTTTACAAATATAATGAATTATTCATTCATATATATCATTACGCTTTGGGGAGTCACACCACATGACATTTAAAACCTAAACTAACCTATAACAAATAATAAAAAGTTAAAATTGTCTGATATTTTAAGTGTCTGCAGGGGTTGTTTTTTTTATGTTGTTATTGTTTTCTGCATGTTGGTTGCACCACATGACATTGTTGGTCACACCACATGGTGTTTTTTCAAATATCGGCAGTTTTGTTAAAATATTTTTTTCTAAGAAATAATAATAAAAGATTATTTCAGACTACTTAAGAATTGAATTCTTTTAATGATGCTTTCCCCCCCTTCATTTTAATATTAGAACTATCACCATGACATTTTCGACTATGCCTCTCCAGAAATGTAAAAATAATTTGAATTCAGAAATCAAAATCATGCTCATTATTAAAGAGATGTATTAATTGCATTTCGGAACAAATTAATAGACAGAACAAACAAACAAACAACAAATAAATAAATAAATAACACCACGTCACTGACCCGTGATCCATGGAAAAAATGATAGTAATACAGATTTGGAATGCCATAAGGCTGAACTACTGCTTTAAAGTTGACAATATAACAAAAGAGTACTGGAAAGGTATAAACCTGACCTCCCTGTGGGCAAAATATTATTAAAGATACTGCACAAGAATATGGAATACAGAGAGAAGCTTGTGTTTGCTTGGGAACCATCGCTCCAACAAAGCACTTCTGGCCTCTTTATCTTCCTTATCCAGAGGCCCAAACAAGAGCGGACATGCAAATCAAAGGCTAATAAGACACCGACTGGAGGCAAGAAGGGTAAAAAAGGAAAGCAATACAGGATGGAAGAGGGCTAGTGGGAAGAGTCGAAAGCTCATTGGTGGGGCTTGTTTTCCTAAGCCATGGGTCGCATTGGTATTATACCCGCTCCGCGATTACCCGGTGACCCCCAGAGGGCAACACGTTGACCCGAGATCACGATGATGCCTCTGGGTGAGTGGGGGGTGTTGAAGTGGAGATGGAGGTGGAGAAAGAGGAGGGGGGGCAGCAAGGAAGCAGAGCAGATGCCAGGGCAATTAAAGGGACCCGGGGAATGTGACGAATGCGGTCAATCTGTCAAACCACCCCTGGAGTCACAATATTACTTCTAAGATATACGGTTGAGCCCTGGAGGGGGCTGGTTCAGATAAGACGAGGCTCTGACACTGCCTGCAGACCATTTAAGGGGGACAAAACACCAGTGTTTGCTTTCTGCTCAGTTATCCCAACTTCTTTAAATTCTTATTAATTCTTCTTTTATCTGTTGTCCACAGAAGTGGGAATGTTTGGAAATGAAACAAGAAACAGCGGCGTCTGTAGAGGCAGGAGGCTTTGAGCCATGTTTGAGCTCAACGTGAGCCAAACGACTCTATAAAGACAGGGCAGCGAAGTCTTTCTTAATAATCTCGCCAAATGATTTCGTACACAAGTAAATGAAGCATGTAGCATTTGCCGTTTAGTGGCATTGATTTAAAGGGTTAGTTCACGCCAAAATGAAAATTCTGCCATCATTTGCTCAGACTCATGTCGTTCCAAACCCCTAAGAAATTCGTTCATTTTCAGAACACAAATGAAGATATTTTTAATGAAATCTGAGAGATTTCTGTCCCTCCACTGAAAGTCTGTTCACCCAAAACTCTCAAAGTTTGTAAAGAGATCAAGAAAGAGATCCATTTGAGTCTTCCGAAATGTCACGATCACGTTATATGATGAACAGATTTAATGTAGGCTTTTATTCACATATAAACATTGGTCAGCGAACATAAACAGAAGCTCAAGCATACTTGTTTAATGCGCGAGAACCTATGAGGTTCATTCTCAGCACGTTTGAGCTTCACCAATGAAGCCATGAAGTTTGTTCTCGCATGTCAAGCTCTTCTTACATGTGAATAAAGCCTAAATTAAATCTGTTCGTCATAAGGTGGTCATGTCTCTTTAGAGGACTTGGATTAATTCGATTCATATAGATGACTTGGATTCGCTCGATTCATATAGTTTTATTTTTACAATCTCTTTATGAATGTTTTGAATCGTCAACATTTTCAACGGTGGGACAAAAATTTCTCAGATTTTGATAAATATCTTCATTTGTCTTCCAAATATGAACAAATTTATTATGGGTTTGGGTGGGGGTGAGTAAATGATGACAGAATTTTCATTTTGGGGTGAACTATCCCTTTAAATCAAAGTGTATTTTGTCTTAGGATACATTTCAGGTACTTACCGAGAGTACCGCAGGGTTTGTTCTTATAGGTGCAGATGTCATACCTAAAAGAGAAAAGAAATCAAAAGTGAGGTTTTCATATGACAGAAATTCATCAGGACTCCATACGGTAACTTATGAAGAAAACGTGAATGGCGTTTGCCTGTGCAAAACTCGCTAGCCAGCGAGTTCGACTGGGGTTGCTAACGTTTTCTGGGTGGTTGCTTAATGGCTGGAGTCAAAAGAGGGTAACACTTTAATTTGATAGTCCACTTTAGCCATTCTGCTAACTTCGCAACTACATGTCAACTTATTCTACTAACCCTAACCTAACAATCTACTAATACTCTAATGAGAGTTAGATGACATGTAGTTGTAAATTAATGAGAGATAGTTGACATGTAGTTGTAAATTAATGAGTTAGTTGACGTAGTTGTAAATTAATGACAGTTAGTTGACATGTAGTTGTAAATTAATGAGAGTTAGTTGACATGTACTTGCAAAGTTACTTAGTAGAATGTCTAAAGTGGACTATCAAAATAAAGTGCAACCAAAACGGTCAAACTATGATCCACTCATTTTTTTTTCGCCCATTTTATTATCTACAATGTGAAAACCATAAGTATTAGCACATTGCATTAATATGTGATTATGTTCATAATGCATAATCTTACATTAACATTAACAAGGTCCACATTTGCATTTTATCTGCTCTTGCTTTTACCAGGAAAGTTACATCTTGAAGTTTTATACTTATTATACTAGTACTTTTACTTCTTTTTAGCAAGTTTAAAACTTCAAACTAATGCAATATAATCAAAATCTATGACCCATTGATAGCATCCACTATGACTTACTGTCGGGTTTTTGTTGTTGTTTATTTTGTAATCCAAACTCCCCCCCCCCCCCCCCCCACCGTTGGGACTTGTCGTCAGTCGGCAGACATTTTCGATGGCAAGCCTATATGAAAGAATGCCAAATATTTTCTTATTCCCCAAATGGGGCAATTAACACCTCCTGAAAAATATCCCAAGCAGTTTGGACTGCTGAGTCTGGCCAAAGGCAGGCAGCCAGGCTTTGTTTGACATTGTCTTCAACGCAAAGGAAAGACACAGTGCCTGATCTGAATCATATTAAACTATCTCAGAAGCTTTGTGTTTTGCGTCAGGGGCTTGAGGGGAACGGTGCAGACGTTTTGCATATATTCAGTAAGAATGGTAGTTGGAAAGTTCCTATCAGCCTTCTATTTTGCTGTCGATCTGAAGATATCCATGCGCTCTGTTTACTGTGGCAGCTGAAAAGGGTCAAAAGAGCCAAATGATCTTCGAATCTGGAAAATCATACTGGAATATTGGAGCCAAAAAAATAAATAACCAAAATGAGGGTTTCTTTGTGCTCCTTTGCATAGTTTATAAACACGTAAGATGCTGCTTATACAATTTATACAAATGTGAAAAAATGTAAACTCATTGTGAGATCGCGTTCATGTGAAATATTAAGAAAATGTGAGTGGCGCTTGCCCATGCAAACCATGCTGCCATGATGCCAGGGTTATGTGAGTGTTTCTCAGGCTGTTGCTATGTAATTGCTAAGGAGTTCGGAGTAGCTGTAGCTAGATATGGCTCATATCCTTCCTTCAGTTTCTATTGAATTTTTAAATTTATCATCATATGTTCTTTAACAAGCCACGTGATTCGAGGTATTATGTCTGTAGTATAAGGTATTTGTCAAATTTTAAAATAATATTCAAGGTTTAGTACCAGTTAAGCTCAAAGTATAGCACTCGCAGCATAATGTTGATTACCACAAAAATTATTATTATTATTATTTGTTTTTTAAAGCAAACATTTGTGAGACGCTTACAAAGGAAGTGAATGGAGCCAGCTGGTAAGTGTTAAAATACTCACTGTTTCAAAAGAATAGACACAATAAAACAATATCTTATTAAAGGGATTATTATGTCCTTTTACGAAAGTCTTGATTGTACTAGAATAGGTTTTGATGCTTGATTGTTCCAAAAATTCATTATTTTTCACATATTTTACATAATTGCAGCACCTCTCTCACCAGTCTGTCTCAAATGCCCTGGTGTGCGTTTCCTAAAAACAAATATGGTTGCAAGTTCTGTCGTTACCAATAGAGTTCAATGGAACTTACCACCATAGCTAGCTAACGATGCTTTTGGAAAACACACCCCTGTTTATTTCCTTTTTGATGAAGCCCCTCCTTCTGAAATACGAAATGTGCTCTGATTGGCTAGCCGGCTCAGTGCATTGTGAATGGCGAACTGCTTAGAGTGTGTTCCGGAAATGAATTTAGACGTTTCAGAGTGGTATGTTTTTTTTTTACAGTCTATGGTGTCTAGCGTAGCTCTCCCCCTTTTTTAATGAGTGACATTGTGACTTCACAATATCCGGAAGAAGTGCGCTGTAAGAGCCGTTTGTTGTAGTTCTTAAAGTGTTAAAGAGTCTAAAAGTGTTAAAAGAGAGTCTAAAGAGTCTAAAGTGTTAAAATCTCCCTTTGGAGTGGACTCTGAGCTTTGTAACTGCATATCTTTTTCATTCTCAAACAGCAATATTACACTAACTAAAGCTGAAAAAGTGAAAAAGCATAATAATAAATCTGTTATTAACATTTTCTGTTTACACTTTATATCCAGTTGTACAACTTTGTTGCCACTGTATGTAAAACCTAAAACCTTTAAAGGGATAGTTCACCCAAAGAAGACAAATTTTGTCATCATTTACTCACCCTCATGTTGATCCAAACCTGTATGACTTTCTTTCTTGTGCAGAACACAAATAAATATATATGATGAAGAATACTGATAACTAAATCATTTTGATTACCCTTGACTTTTTATATTTCTCACATCTTTTTATATATATATATATATATATTCCACAAAAGAAAGAAGGTTTGCAGGTTTGGAATGACATGAAGGTGAGTAAATTCTTGATTCTTGGGTCAACTAATGACCATAAATTTGAAAAAGCTCACAGCTTAAATAATACACACGTTTTAACAAAGACTTTATTTATACAATAATAAGCTTTACATTTCTGTATTTAAACCCTCCATAAATTTAAATCCCCTTTTACTTCCACTGTAAGTGCCTCACTGTAAAATTAATTCTCAATTTTTGAAAAGAAAAGAAAGAAAATGGGGGATACACTGAAATTAATATCAGTGGTAACATTATGCCACAAATTCTGTTGACTGAGTTTGTACTGAACATATTAAATATATGTAAATATATGAATATATTAAAAATATTAATACCTTAAGCAACCACATGTAATAATAGCTACATAACATTAGCATGGCATCAAATTGCTACATCTGTATGTATAGCCAATATGTTATTACGTTTTATCTGTAAGTTCAAACAAAACTACATATTAAACATCAGAGTAAATTAGATGGAAGATCAAACATACATACATATGTTTGTGTGTGTGTGTGTGTGACTGACCCACTCTTTCACTTGATGTCTAATTGATGTACATACTGTACTGGTAATTCAATAAGAATAAAAAAAGAATGGCATACACGAGGAATTATGAACAAGGTCTCTGCCTTCAAGACGGGCTTTTAATGTATTAGAAAACCAAGGACTCCCTCCTCGTCCCATGACTCCCCAAGCAGAGCAAACCCACCAGCATTAGGTCCTGTCTCATGAACTTGTGTCGAGAAGCTGACCTCATTTGGACATCGATTTATTTTGATTTAGCTACTTTAATTTCCCTCAGCTCTCGCAATGGATCGTGTTCCAAACAAGCAATATTGCATCCCCCTGTCATGCTCCGGTCAAAAGTCTGACTGGAAAAACATTGCTGAAGAGGTCAGGATGGACCGTCCGTCTGGATGATGTTTCTGCATCACGCAATCTTTATGTTTCTTCCTCATGTACCAGCAGAGGTACTGCAGCAAATGTGGCAAATGCCATCACTCGAGAGCTTCTGTCTAAATGTTTACATATCTGAGCCACCCAATGAGAGGGCAGCTGACCGCACAAAACTGTCCATGTGACCTCTGCTGAAGTAAAAATAATTTGAACAGATATATGGATACATAATAATTTCTACTGTGAGAGTGATGTCCTTTTTCTGTTACACTGTTAATTTAAAATCACATAACTATATGTGACCCTGGACCACAAAACATAAGGGTTATAAGGGTAAATTTTTCGAAATTGAGATTTATACATCATCTGAAAGCTTAAGAATAAATAAGCTTTCCATTGATGTATGGTTTGTTATGATAGAACAATGTTTGGCCGAGATACAACTATTTGAAAATCTGGAATCTGAGGGTGCAAAAAAATCAAAATATTGAGAAAATCGCCTTTTAAGTTGTCCAAATGATGTTCTTAGCGATGCATATTACTAATCAAAAATTAAGTTTTGATATATTTACGGTAAGAAATTTACAAAATATTTTCATGGAACATGATCTTTACTTAATATCCTAATGATTTTTGGCATAAAAGAAAAATCAATCATTTTGACCCATACAATGTATTTTTGGCTATTGCTACAAATATACCCCAGCGACTTAAGACTGCTTTTGTGCTCCAGGGTCACATATATATTTCAGTTAACTTAATAAACTACAATACTACAACGATTTACTTTCGTAAATTATGGCAACTACTGCAATTTTAGTAAACTTAATAAACTTCATAAACTATTGAAATGAACACTTTTGGTAAAAAAGTGTAAACTTCATAAATGAATGAAACTGACACAATTTTAACTTTGAAAACTACATAGTGAAATTTGCAAAAGTCTCACATTTTACTACAATTTCAAAAGTTGGAATTTTCTAATTTGTCATAGTTACAATAGTTTACGAAGTTACAATAGTTTATGAAGTTTACTATAATTAAGATTTTTGCATTCATTTAAGGTGTACTAAAAGTGTCACAGTTATGGCAGTTTCCTAAAATTAAGATCATTTTAACAATGTACAGTTACTAAAATTGCGATAATTGCTTAAAGTTTACTTACATTGTTGCAGTTCCATAGTGAAATTTTTGTTAAATATTACAGTACATTTCACTATTATATAGTGTATAGTAACTACTGTAAATACCACAGATTTAATATACATTGTAAACAACAGCAACTATCACAATTGTAGTAACCATTGTAAAATATTGCAAATTTTTATATTGTAGTAAACACTGTACAGACAATTACAACTATAACAAGTTTACTAAAATTCATAAACTATTCACAAACTACCTACACTTTATTTTAAGATGTCCTTCTTACAGTGTAATTATACATTTAAGTACTGAGTATTATTAATTAACAACATGTAATTACTATAGGGTTAATGTTAGTTACATGTAATTATGCATAATGTGCATAACAATGTATTTAACGTGTAACAAGTAAAAGGTAAAATAAAGTATTACCCAAATTTAGTAAAAGTCAACTCGAAAAGCGTCAAACAAGGTCAAAAGCATGACTAATTAGCACTGTAGTAGTCTATTAGTGTTCCAAGAACACAAGCTGTAACACTGACTTTCACCAAAAATAAGCAAATAATCATAATCGGCTTGAGAGCTAATGAGTAAAGACATTACGTTGAATGGTATGCTGGCGCGTTTACTTGAACAGGCTTTCAAGGAAACATCACTCTGATTGTTAAGCTCTCCTTCAGGCTATCATTAGTCATATATGAAATCACCTCACATAAATGTCTCCAAACTAAGCACTGCTAGTATAAATGGTCATAAAATCGCGGCGCTGCAGGGGCGCCTCCCTCCTGGAGTACTCAATAATAAACTAACCACACAAAGCTAATCAACATATTAGCCTTCGTGTAAATAAGACTTTATTCATGCTGCACATGAATCAGATTTGATTTTCCAATCAAATCTAGAACTGACTAACTACACGGACTAACTGATGAAATCTGATCTGTTCATTCATACAGTGCAGTCGATATTCAGTGTATGTCAAATGACTTTTGTGGAAAGAGAGGACAGGAAAATGAAATATTGCCTTTGCTCATGTCTATCGTGACATTTCGCTCACAAGCATATATTTATGAAAATACTATTCTCCCTTGGCCAAAATTGCTGACTCAGTGACTCATTCACTATGTAAGTACAAGTAAATGTCACATAGTTGACTGTATTAAGAATGAGTCTTGAGTTATGAGAAATACTTTATTTAAAATAAATGAATAAATAAATGTAATTATTCCTTTCTTTAAAGAAATCCATTCTGATCGTTTCTGACGTACTGCAAGCCACATATTAATGTGGTCTGATTGAGCTTGTAAACGTGTTGTGTTCTGTTCAGATTACAAAAAACTAAATAAATTTGAGTTGGAGATGGCAAAAAAATCATGCATGTCTCTATATACGGGTTCCACACACCGACTTAAGATCTAATGAACATTTTTGGCTTTGGATATAATAGCTATCCACCGTCTGACTTAAACTATTGTTCTTGAGTAAAGCCTCAAACAATCAGAACAGATCTCTTAAAACAACAGCTCTGGATCCAAAGAATACAATATGACCTTTGGAGTCATTAATATTTAACTGAAATATGAAATGACAATTCCTCCACCAAATTTAGCATTACACAAAGGTGTCCCTCTCTTTCTGAAAGGAAAATTCTCTGACTAAAGTTTAAAGCTGCACTTAATTCAGAATGAAATCCATTTATAGCGGCAAACTAGCTGCGTTTGTTTGCCAGACTCAAAACCAGTCTGCCAGAAATTAGCAGGACAACGGCTAGTTGTTTACCACCTGGCTTACTTTGGCAGATTGGTGTCTGTTCTGAAGAAATAAACTTAAAATGAAACTTTCTGTAGACTAGCGTCAGACGCACCGCCTGTTTCAGTCAATTCGAAAAGTTGTTTGGCCTCCACATGTTTAGCAAAAACACCAAGTTAAACAAATCATGTATATAAACAGAAATATCCAATAACCTCTGCTCAAGGAGTGACGTCTACAGTATCGGCTGACGGTGTCAAGGCTCGCAGTCTGCCAGAAATTAGCAGGACAACGGCTAGTTGTTTACCACCTGGCTTACTTTGGCAGATTGGTGTCTGTTCTGAAGAAATAAACTTAAAATGAAACTTTCTGTAGACTAGCGTCAGACGCACCGCCTGTTTCAGTCAATTCGAAAAGTTGTTTGGCCTCCACATGTTTAGCAAAAACACCAAGTTAAACAAATCATGTATATAAACAGAAATATCCAATAACCTCTGCTCAAGGAGTGACGTCTACAGTATCGGCTGATGGTGTCAAGGCTCGCACCTGTCCAAACCACACAGTCATGCATCAGTGAACACCAATTAACAATGACATTAATAACCAGTTTAGTCTCAGTTGTAAACGACCCACCCAATATATGTTTCCAGGACAAACTGTCAAACTTAAATGCCAAAATGTCAACCAATCCTAAAACAAGCCTTTCTTCTCCAATTCGAGCTAAATTGAGGAAGTTAGTAAAAAGTGTAAAAATCACAGAGCTGTCCGCAATTTAACTGATTGCTCGCCCCCACAAACTAATCACTGAAACAAGATGTTTTTTGGCTTCTGGATGAATATAATGAATTAAGACAGGGATTTCAAAAGAGTATGTATTTAACAAACACAGACTGACTCAAAGAAAAGTTTAGCTTAGGAAATTTAAAAGACAACCTCAAGTCAATAAAAGCTATTTTCAGTTTAGTTTGCTGGGTTACGTGATCAAAAAGCATCTGCAACAATTAAAGGTGATGATGGTTGTTTAAACAGTGGTTCTTAACTAGTTAACTAATGGAAACTAATAGGAAATGTGACAATTTTATCAAGTGAGGAATTAAAGAGAAGTATTTGCACTTTTTTTACAGACAACAAACATGTAGTAACTAACATTAGGTTACAGAATGATAACTATACAAACTAGTTTTGTATATATATATATATATATATATATATATATATATATATAGTCGTCACACTTTATTTTAAGGTCCAGTTTTCACTATTAACTAACTATTAACTACAGCTTTTGCCTCAATAAACTCCTAATTTGTGCTTATTAATAGTTAGTAAGATAGTTATTAACTTCAGGTATTGGGTATAAGGGTGTAACGGTTCATCCCGAACCGTCACGGTACGGATGCCACGGTTCGGTTCATGCAGTCAGACGACGAATGAGCAGAAGAGGAGACGATCTACGCACCAACCCAAAACAAGAACGGGGAGTTCAGATGGCACGCAAGAGCTCGAAGAACCCCCTGCTTGTTTTAAATCAGAAGTCTGGGAAAGTTTCAGGTTCTACAGATGCACCGGTCGACCAGCCATAAATCGGAAAAATTAATTTTTTTTGTTTTATTTTGGACGATCTCCATTCTGGATTTGCACACAAATTGCACTGCAATCTTTTCCCAAAATGTAATTTGTGTGGAAATATTATGAGTCTGCAAACAGAGGCCAGAGATGCTTAAGACCACTTACCTCAGTTTAATGCATATTAGTGTTTATTAGCGCAGCGCTGCTTTGTTTACAGCGGTAACCAAGGAAACGCTGTATCGCTGCTGTTCCATAAGCTGTCATTTTCATTCAGCCCGTCTGCTGATTTTGTTTTGTGCAGGTGTCTTATGTAGCATAATTTCACAAATCAAAAGTCAGGCCATTCTGTTTTTGCTTTAAAGGGGTCATATGATGCTGCTAAAAGGAACATTATTGTGTGTATTTGGTGTAATGAAATGTATTTATGCGGTTTAAGGTTAAAAAAACACATTATTTTCCACATACTGTACATTATTGTTTCTCCTCTATGCCCCGCCTTTCTGAAACGCGTCGATTTTTACAAAGCTCATCGGTCTGAAAAAGCGAGGTGTGCTCTGATTGGTCAGCTATCCAGTGCGTTGTGATTGGCCGAATTCCTCAAGCGTGTGACAGAAATGTTACGTCCCTTACCATATTGTGATGCCTGCGGCAACCACATGTGACAGGTGAAAGCCGATCCGGCGATCCACAGAATTCACCAAGAGCTTGTAACACTCCAAAGAGAAAGGAAAAATTGAAATCGCATCATATGACCCCTTTAAATCTTGAAATTGCATAATTATCTAATTCAAATCAAAAACAACTGCTGATGCTACATGTGTGCAGCACTACTGTCTGTTCAAAATAAATGAGAAAAAAAACATTGGGGATTTGATGCTTTTTCCTGCTGTACTGAACTCGTATCGAACCATGACCCCAAAACCAAGGTACGTATCGAACTGTGACTTCTGTGTACTGTTACACCCCTATTGGGTATGATTAAGAGATCAGAATAAGGCATTAATATGTGCTTTATAAGTACTAATAAAGACCCAATATGCTAGTAATATGCATGCTAGTTAATAGTGAGAGTTGTCATCAATTAAGATTTTGAACAAATTAAGTGTTGGTGACCAAGTGGGATGTGTTCCTGAATCAACATCTTGGCCCTGAAACAACATTCAACTTTCAAACAGACACAATCCTAACCATATCCCCAACCTCAACCACGAACAACTCCTGAAATCAGATGGAAATAATAGTAACCAACCTTGTAATGAGAACAGCATTGTCATGATGGGCGATCCCATTCTCTGGGATACTGTTTCCATCTCCCTGATGAGAAAGAATGGATTTCTGCCATTTACAGAAGCTGTCTAGAGATTTGTCTGCATGGTGGTTTATCTCCAAGTTCGGCTGCAACGTAAAACACCAATGCAACGTGTCAATGCAACAAAATCTGATCTACCGCAAGATGAAAATCACAGAACAACAAAGGACGCTTCAGCTTGTTAAGTTTATATATTTTATTTAATATAGTATATATTATTTGGCTGGTACAATGTGAATTGTAGCTCTTATGACATCATCTTAGAGCTAGATCTTTTGGTTGGTTTCCCAGTTTGAGAAGAGTTATTTGACTCTTCCGAGAACAAAAAAAAACAAAAACAAAACAAAACAGACAAACGCCCTGGCTCTCTCATTAAAGACATTAACGTAAAACCTTTTACAACGTTTCCCTCAGGGACAATGTCTAGGCATATCTGTTCGAATAACTTTTATCTTTAAAAGTGGTCATACGATTCATGATTCCATCTGTCTTTTTCAGGGCAATAAAACAGCAGACTACTGTGAGGTGTGTTTCTAAGCTTCTAAAAATACTCTGAGCTCACACTCATTTGATGCTAATGAAGACGAAAGACAAGAACGATGAATAGCGTGCATGTGCGTGAGACTAGGGAAAAATATCACACTAGTCTAGCCTCAAGAAGTACTACTGAAATACAATGACCTTTAGCAAAACCAAAATGCAGCTGTACACTATAAACTGATTATTCTTGCAGAACAATTACACCATTAAAGGGATAGTTCAACCAAAAATGAAAACTCTTCATTGTTTACTCATCCTCGTGTCATTCCAAACCTGTATGACCTTCTTTCTTCTGTGGAACGCAAATTTGAAAAGTCTCATTGTTTTTAGTCCATACAATGAAAGCCAATGGGGTCCAAAAGAACATAAACGGTCTGCAATATCTTCTTTTGTGTTTCAAAGAAGAAAGTAAGTCATACAGTTTTGGAATGACGCGAGGTTGAGTAAACAATGATAGAATTGTCATTTTTGGGTGAACTATCGACTTCTACAACACTTAAAGGTGATTAAAACACTCACCTGATCTTCTGTCAGAACAATCAGTCGGGTTACAATAATGTTCACAACGTTTCCAAGACTGGCATCACGATAAAGTTTGGCAACCTGACCTCCAGAAAAGAAGAAAAGACACAAAGTCAGCCAAGTGCTGTTCGAGTTCTTCTTATGTACCCTTGAAAGGAATGAAATGCACATTGGAGACAAACATGCATGAGCAAAGCAGGACCAAACTTACAATATTCATTACAGACAGGATGTAGTGCTCGATGTCTTTGCGACCGTGGTAGCCAACCATCATTTTGTCCGCCACCACTAGGGTCTCCACAAAGCGTTCAGAGCTGACAGAACGCCGCTGGCGGTGGCCACCCATCGAGCTGTCGCTGTCCGTGGCTGGGTAAGGTGGGTTTGCTTCAGGATTGGTATTGTAGCTGGGTGTCCGGTTTATTGTGAGGTCTGGAGATAACAAAAATGGTTCACGTTATCATCAAAAAGTGATTCATTAGTAGTTCAATTGATAGTAAAATGAGGTTTAGCTGAACTTTAGAGTAGATCTTCACTCAACGTTCATGCCGAGGCTGTTTGCAGAGACTTCCAGCCAAACCTGAACCACTCATTTCCTAAACTGCTATCTATAGCTGTTTACGCCACAATGTGGCCAAATGGAGGTTTACCAACCTGAAACACCACAGCTGAACTCCTCGCTTGGCTCTTGCAGAGAAGGAATGGAAGTCTTTTTATAAATAACATGTGGTTGTCCTTCGTGGTTGACATCACTGAAATTTCTGGATATATTTTTTAATGGCTCTATTAAATATTGCTCGTCCTCTGTGGTTATGACACCATGCTTGATAAGAAAAGAGAAAATGATGGGTTACACAAAAAGCACACAGGAAAAACAAGAAAATATGTTCATTGTCAATGTATGAACTATTCCATCTGCAATGTCAAGGACAAGGTTGTAAATTCATGCATTTTAATGGCCGTACCACATGCTTATCATCTCTACAAATATATTCATGCTGTTGAAATACAAACCAGAACGCAGATAACTATTACTCATATTATTTCAAGTAATTCATATCATTCAGCATTGCAAGCAAATGCCAAAACATGCCACAATACAAATCAATGAGATAAATCACTCAAAAACCACCCATTACATAAAGAACAACACTGTAATTACTGGGACAGGAACCAAAGCACACAGACCTGCGCCCTTGAACACCCCCAATTTAACATAAATTCAAAAAGAGCCTCAGAAATGTGTTTATAGAAAAAGAAGATGAAAAAATGCTCTGGCATGCTCTCCAAGTCTGTAAAACTCCACAATGAGACCAATTAAATCTTTACAAAGAAACAGCAAACACTGCACACGCAAAACGAAGGCGCAGTTGATATAAGCCGTATGCTGTGTGATGCACGGCGAAAACTGCTGAGGCATTCAAAGGATTGTTTTTCCATTTTTGGTTTCAATAAAAATGACTGAGGCAACGCAGAGATCTCAATTTATGAAGTATGGTGGGCCAGTACTTTTGGCTGCAACAATCATAATATCACATTTTAGCATCATTGTAACTGTCTCGTTCTTCATTCTGACTAAAGGGGGAGTATGGGAAAAAGTTTAATATTACAGACGTGATAAAGCAGAGCTGTTTGGAATTTCTTGTGGACTACAACCTAAAGCGTCTGTGTCAGATATCTGGTTGGTTTAATGGCAGAGGTGGAACATTAAGTTTGTAAAAGCATTGCTTTTCCTTTCATTTGAGCTCAGCCATTGGGACAAATCAAATTTATTTGATATCAGATGTGATACATGACATCAGACTAATCTAAGTAAACAAGCTAGTTAGGATCATACTGGGCTTTCTTTTGTGGCCTAAAACATGTGAAATGGTAAGATCGATGCCTGAGGTCTTAAAGCAATCTCAAGTAAGCTTTTTTCACAGCATTTGTGGCAGAAAATAATTCACGCTTCATGTCCCTTAGTTTGTAAAAACTCAACATCATATTCACATGTGTTAACAAGATTCGTGCAGACATTTTCGACCTTACAAGGAACAGACCACCACAATAAAATGAAAAGGATTCTTAGAATTTTTTTGAAAAGGATTCTTTTAGTAATTCCAAAATTCCATAGTAAGTCCATTACTGTAAACACAATTGTTGCTGGTTTTTACTGTTTAGCCTGTTAGCATTAGCAGATAGTCTGGTAGATGTGTACTTCACCATTCTTAGGCAAAGAGCCTCCCTCTCCATTGACAACTTCAAGGCAGCTGTACATTCTGACAAAATATAGTTTTCATTATATTATACACCTATAAAGCCAAAATGCAGTAACTACACCAACAGTGAAATGTAGAAAATGGCTTTTTTAAAATGTTGATTTTTCACAAACTGAGTGTCCTTCACAGGACAGGTCATGGTCTAAGAGACCTGATTTTGTTCATTACTCAATTGTGACAAAATGTGTTATTGCAATATGATCGATGTCTAACCAGTGCCCATTTTTGATATCTCTTAAGAGCATGAAAGAGCCTTTTATTTTTTGAATGTCTGGCTCAGAATAGTGATGTTGTTATGACGTTACTCTCTCACAGCTCCAGAGCAGTGTTAATTTTGTCAGCTGTTACGCTGTCTAAAATTGCATACTGTATAGTCACTACATTTGGTTTGAAACTTACTTTGTGACCATTAAAAACAGCGTGTTATATATAGTATAAATTAGGGCTGTGCGATATTGAAGAAAAATGTGATATGCGATAACTCATTAAATAATGCGATATTCGATATGCGATATGATAATGCTGTTGCCGAGTCTGTGTATGTATGTACCAAGAGTTCCTGTAAAACCACAACAAATTCCTTGTTTGCGCACACTTAAAGCTCATTCTGATTCTGTTTTCTAATATAACTAGCACACATGTTTCACTTTTTGTGAGAAGAAAGCACCCCAACAACAACTTCTGAAAGTGAACGGTAGTGTTTTACTCTAGCATTACATAAAAATGTCATTTTAACATTAGTGTAATAATTTTAACATGAGTTTAGGAACTGAATAATAAAAAGGAAAAATACAACGCTGCTTAGTATTTACTCTATGAATTCAATATGCACTGATTCTTTTTTAAGCTACAAAAGTTATTTAGGTAAGAGCAGTGAGTGATTTTCTCTTTGTGTTTTGTTCATGGCCCCAAATATTGCAAGCCATGGCGATATGCATATTGCGATATGTACATTTGCGATATTTCGATAATTTCAATATATTGCACAGCCCTAGTATAAATGCATTTAATATGAAGGAATTTTGGACGTACTACATCTGCCATGTTGTCACTGTCATGTGACCTATGACATCAGTTGATCGCTTCACTGCCATTCACAACTCCTCTCTTGTGACCTCATGGGATAGTAAAGTGTCCATCAGATGCACACTTCAGAATTTCTGCGGAAGTAGCAGGTCATCTGGGTACTTTTGTTTTATGAATAACATGAATTCAGACATACTACTTGGCTCAAGTAATGTTTTTTCCTACTACATAGCATGGAAGTAGGCATATTCAGATGCATTGTTAGTATTAGTCCTGTTAAATGGCCTTTTGAATTTTTATCATATTTATTTAACCTATCCTGTTTGTTTAGTCAAGTTTTCGTGAAACCTATTTTCAAAAATAGGTTTGGCCCCCAAAACATTGTTGATGTGTAAAATGGCCAAAATGCATAGTTTTACCATTTTAAATGGTGAAAACGGTGTCATGTACATGTTAAAATGCATAATAGTTATGCTGAGTAATAGTTAAACTGAACTGATAATCACTATTATTTTTGCTCAAAATTCTAACCGTGATTACTGATTACGATTGCTGTCATTTGAAAAATTTCATCATAATTACTGAACTTTCACCTATTTCCACTTGCACAAATCAAGAGATGATTATTTTACACGTGTTAAATAAAATAAAAATGTATGAACTTTAAGTGGGAATCACAACTGAATTTTTGAAGTAATTAAAACGATTTTTGCACCAAAATGAGATATTATACAAGACGAGAGAGCTTGGTGTAAATAACCTTGTTGAACTGATTTATTATATTATAATATAAATTACGTTCTCTACATTCTGAAAACTGGCCAAATTCAAAAGCTTCTCTCAAAAGCTAAAACGATGAAATTCCTAATATTAATCATGTGGGTCATGTGCCAGCCAAACAACTACCATTGAGATGGTTCTTTCGAATTAAGGAACAAGAAATTATTCGCTGTGTAATCAACACCATGTCACAAATGCTGCTGAGCAAGCCTAAGGAGTATTGTAACTTCTTTAAATCATCATTCTGTTATCACTCCTGAAACTATAGGTCTGCACAGCGGTTCAGAGGGAAGGTTTTGTGTTTGCACGCAGACACAGTGGCTGCAGGAAATGCCTTTAGGACCAGCAAAGCCACTCTAAATTCTCATAGATTTATGCGAGGGTGTTGCTGATACCAGGGTGGATCCAATATCGAGGCCTGTCCTGCCACACGAACACCCCAGTTTAAGGTAACTGCAATTCTCTTGGGAATTTTCCTCTCAGTCTCTCGTCAAGTTAAAGACACAACATGCAGGCCTGCAATCTAGCTTTCAGTGATGGGGATGCTACTTTTACACTGAAGCCTGCCAAGATACAAACTACTCATAAAGTATTTAAACAACAGTCAAGCATTTGGAAAAGTAGTTAAATGTAAATACATTAAAGCTATTTAAAGGAATAGTTCACAATTTAGTCATGTTGTTCCAAACCTGTAAGTTCCTTCTGTGGTATTTTGAAAAATGTCTCAGTGCATTTTATTTGTCCATACAATGAAAGTCATCGACTGTATGGACAAAAATGTTGAAAAACAAAAACATTCTTCAAAATATTTTCTTTTGTGCTCTGCAGAAGAAAGCCATACAGTATTATAACAAATTGAGGGTGAATAAATGATTATAGAACTTTCATTTCATTTTGGGGGACAAAATAGTTTTTTTTTAAGTAAACATAAACCCATATATATAGAAATATATATACTTATTTATATTTTATATATTCAAGTATTTATTTTTATAGACTTTTATAATACACACACATAAATATATATATATATATATATAC